GAGGCGGTAACAAGGCCGAGGGCTCCGAGTCCCAAGCCCGTGCCCACTGCTGCTGCAGACATCCTCAAAGCACTTCTTCTTTTCAAATAACCATGATGGCTTCAAGAAGCCGATGCGTGATCAATACAAACGCAGTAAGTGTGTTCCCCTCCCAGGAACACCAGCTCTGACACAGATGCCCGACTTCTCCTTCCAGATCAACAGAACGGACTAGACAGGTGGGAGAGTCAGGAATGGGGGCTCCCAGCGGCTGCGGGAGGAGCATCCGTACCAGAAACAGCAGTGAGCGGGTGGGCTGAGCACACGGGAACATGGCAGACTCCGCACGCGCCCTGCGGTGGGACGCGCGGCCCGGGTATACGGTCTGTGGGTCTGACCCACAGCGCCCACGGTGACAGCACACGGAGCTCTGCAAAATCCGACTCCGGAGCACAGCGGGCTCCCCTCTACAGTTACAACTTCCCAACAGCAGAGGCTCCATCAGAAAAGCACCTGAATGTGGGGACCAGCAGGTGGTGTGCTGGTTAAGGCGCTGGACACACCCACATGGCCGACCAGGGTTCAAGCCCTGAATCTGGTGGCCTGCTTTCTCACTTCCTCTCTCTCTCTCTCTCTCTCTACCTCTGTCTCTCTCTGGTTAAATTAAAAAATAAATGAATGAATGAAATAAAATAAATAATTAAAAAAAAAAAAGAAAGAAAGAAAAGCACCTCAATGTTCACGCCAGCCACCACCACTGGTTCTGACCCACTGGTTCTGACCCAAGCTGAGGACTTGGAAATACCGAAGTCATGACGCAGCCCTCCAGGCTTTGTCGTTGCTCACGACGTGGGGTTCACACAGCTATTACTCCAAGCAGGCCTGACCACTCGAGTCGTGCTAGAGACACAGTACCTCAGGGGGACAGCTGCATCACCCAGCCAAGCAAATGGGGAGCCATGGGAGGAAGGAGAGACAGCTAAAAGAAGAACTAAACTGTTTAAGAATCCATCTCAAAATATGGACTGAGTCAATGCTGGGAGAAGAGCCCATGGCTTGGTCAGATTGTCGGAGCTGTGGCGATGGCTGCAGACGGCCGAGGACCGCCTGGTGGCGCACGCGAGGCAGCTCCCACTTACCAGCACACACCGCGTGCCGGTGCCGTGCTCATCATCCACACGTGTGGACGATGGGAGACGCGGCACCCCGTGAGGGAAACTGAACATGGGTCTCGTGGAGTCCCCCGAAGCCGTGCAGTGAGCAGGCACGCCCGCTCGGTGCCCCACTGCACACAGGCAGGAACACCTGAGGGTGCGCGGGCGCCTACATCGATACAGGCGGGGCCCAGCAGAGAAGGTGCCGCTGCACTAACCTGTTTGTAAGTCCCATCGAGCAGAGTGTCCAGGTGCTGGAGGGGGGCAGGCGTCTTGTCTTTGAACCTCGTTAACAGCCGGCGCTGGATGGCCCGGAACTGCACGGCTCTCTCAGATAGGAGTTCTTCCAACTTCTCACCATTTACCCGCAGCTACAAGGAAGAAGTTCTTAAATTCAGGTTAAGTGAGCACAGAGAAGAACCATGAACGTACCGCATCGTTAGCAGATTAAGGCCATGTGGTATCTGGCACAGGAATTCCGACCGTACAAAGAACAGATGCAACAGAGCGGGAGAGGGAGCCGGCACCGCTGGGGAGACTGCCCGCGAGCACCGTAAAACAGGAGGGAGCACAGAAACCGTCCCTGCTCTTCCCATGGAGTCAGTGGTGGAAGCATCAAAATGTAGACACTGGGGCCAGCAGGTGGTGCAGAAGTTAGGGTGCTGCACTCACACATGGCCAACTGCAGTTCGAGCCCCAGACCCTGCAGCTTGGGAACCACACTGAGCGTGCGTGCACACACCCAAAACCCTGAAAGGAAAACAGAGGCCAAGGGAGGGTGGCGCGGTCTTAGCCCCGGGGGTGATTTCTTGCTCTTCCTCTGTCTCTCTCTCTTTCTGTCTCTCTCTCCAATGAGCACAGGTGCCCTATGGCAGAAACTCCCCTTTTCTTAGAAAAGGAAAAAAAAAAACATGCACACACACACACACATAATAAATAAAACCTCCAATGACCAAACGCTAAATGATAAAATCTATTTTAATTAAGTTTTTATATATCGGCCTGCCTAGCAATAACTCACTGTAACTGTATAACTTACAGCTAGAACATTTTATTTCCTGAATTTGTGAAGTACACATACATTAAAAAGCTGTTCTCAACATTCAGACATCAGCCACGATGTCACACGTCACAACTTCAGCATTTAAAAATGGTTCATCCCAGAGCCAAGAACTGTCCTGGCATTAAGAAGTGCACAGTGACCAGAGCCAGCAAGCTACCCGCTTCACGGCGCTTACGCTGAGGGACGCCTGGGCTCCACGCTGGAAGCAGACAGGCCCTGCGAGCCCTCACAGCCTCCCAGAGAGGAGCGCCACTGGGAGCTCTCGGCCGTCACTGCCCAGCGCACGAAGGGCCTCCATGCTGGCCCTCCTGCTCCGTCGGGTCTGAGTCCATTTAGATTACAGGGTGTGATCAGTGTAGTCTTCCTGTGGTCTCCTCCACGGGCTGCTAGACCCCAATTTTTCACGGTAAACAATTTCTTATAGCATATCCTAAAAGTTTAGAAAGGTTCACAATGCTTAAAATACCTACATAAACTCTCCCAAAATATATTTGCTGTAATTTGGTCCAAAACATTCTTCCCTAGAGAATATTACCATCAAGGTTGGGGTATTTGGTAGTGACACGGCCATCCACAACTGGACTGCACCTGGAGTCCCCACCTGACGCTCACACCGCATTAAAAGGGGTTTTTGCCGGTACAAGTCACTGCTCTTAGGGTGTTCAAGGGATTGCTGATGGGTCACCCAGAGGACGATTGGTCAGTGTCTCTGTCCCTCTCTCTCTCTGTCTTACCCAAGTGATAATTAGTCTCTGTCTCTCTGTCATACCAAAATGATGATCAGTCCCTCTCTGTCTCTCTGTCTCTGTCTCTCTCTGTCATACCCAGGTGATAATCAGACTCTCTTTTTCTCTCTCGTCTCTCTCTCTCTGTCAAACACATATACACTTAGCTTATAAACTTATATACACATACACTTTAGCTTATAAATTGAAATGCCTGGGGCCAGCAGGTGGCATGGTGGTTAAGATACTGGACACTCCCACATGGCTGACCATGGTTCAAGTCCCGGACCTGGTAGCTTGCTTTCTCACTTTCCCTCTCTCTCTCTCTCTCTTTCCTTCTATCTATCTCTATCCCTGTGTATGCCTCTCTCTGGTCAAATTAAAATAAATGAATAAATAAAAATTTTTAAAAAGTAAGGGTGACAAGTTCTTCTAGACTAGGTTTAAAAAAAAAAAAAACTGAAATGCCAATTGAGTCATTAAAAAGTAGTCAGTCCAGGAATGCTTACTGGTTCTTTTTCTTTAAATGTTTGCTATAAGGCGTGTACACTCACCTGAGAGAGACAGAGACAGAGAGAGGAGTGAGAAAGCACCCCACAGGGTTTGGTCACACTGCAGTCCCTGCTCCTCTCTCTTCCCGTCTTTGGGGCATGCACACACACCCTGCGTGCTTTCCAAGCTGCCAGTTCTGGAACTCGAACCGTGCAGGTGGCCACGTCCGATTCGGCCACCTGACCATCACACCACCAGCTTGCCCAGAGAACTGACTCGAATCACGTTCAAGGTACTCCTAAGGTGCCAGCCCTGTGGCCTAGTGATCAAGGTTTCTGGACCCCACAGGACTGGCTGCAGTTTGATTCCCGCCCTGGCGGCTTCGAAATATGCCAGGTGTATGTTCACAAATACCCCAAACCCTGACAGGATGGAGTAATGGAGAAGGGTTTGTGACCATACCCTGCTGGGGAGTGCTATCTGTCTCTCTGTCTCTGTCTCTCTCTCTCGCGCTTGCTCTTTCTCTGATAAGCGTGCATGCCCTCTGACAATTAAAAAAATTCTTTAGGGACCAGCAGTTAGCGTAATGGCTATGTCGCTGGATTCCCACGTAGTCGACCGCGGTTCAAGTCCCGGACCCGGTGGCTTAAACTCACGCCGGGCGCGTGTGCGTGCGTGCCCAAGATCCCAAGAGGAGAATGGAGGAGAAGGGATTGCAGCGTGGCCATCCCCTCTGGGGGGTGATTTCTCGCTTTCTGTCTCTGTCTCTCTCTGTCTGTCTGGCGAGCGCACGCGCCCTATAGCAAAAACCTCTCAAAAAAAAATTCTTTAAAAATTCCCCTTTTGGGAACAGCCCCGTGACCTAGTGGCTAAGGTCACACATGACCAACCACACAGTTCCCATCCCAGACCTTGCAGCTTAAACATGGCATGGGTGTGTGTGCACGCCCCGCATCTCAGCAGGGTGGGAGAGGGAGTGCAGGGATGCAGGGTGACCATACCCACGGGCTCCCCTCTTCCCACTCCTCTGGAGAGCGCCTGGACCTTGTCACTCTGCCCTGCAGCTCACCCTGCCTGCTGGTGGCCATACGTGGGCCTGGTGACTGGGGCGGGAGGCTCCATAGTGGGTCTGGTGACCGGTGCAGGAGGCCTGGTGACCAGGGCGGGAGGCTCCGCAGCGGGTCTGGTGACCAGGGCGGGAGGCTCCGTAGCGAGCCTGGTGACTAGAGCGGGAGGCCTGGTGACCAGGGCGGGAGGCTCCGCAGCGGGTCTGGTGACCAGGGCGGGAGGCTCCGTAGCGAGCCTGGTGACTAGAGCGGGAGGCCTGGTGACCAGGGCGGGAGGCTCCGCAGCGGGTCTGGTGACCAGGGCGGGAGGCTCCGTAGCGAGCCTGGTGACTAGAGCGGGAGGCCTGGTGACCAGGGCGGGAGGCTCCGCAGCGGGTCTGGTGACCAGGGCGGGAGGCTCCGTAGCGAGCCTGGTGACTAGAGCGGGAGGCCTGGTGACCAGGGCGGGAGGCTCTGTAGCGGGCCTGGTGACCAGGGCGGGAGGCTCAGAGCGAGCCTGGTGACCGGAGCGGGAGGCCTGGTGACTGGGGCGGGAGGCTCTGTAGCGGCCTGGTGACCGGGGCAGGAGGCTCGCAGACAACGCCGGCCTTTGTAGGCCTATGCACAGACGTGGCTCTTGGCCATTCCCAAACACCAAACAGATCTTCAGAGGGAAGAGACTGACGCCACTGAGACCCCACGGGTGTCTGACACGGGCTGAGGCACTGCAGGGAGGAGGAGCAGGACTCTACAGCAGAGCCGCTGCTGCTGATCAGACGGGCGTCCGCTCCACATGCCAAGCCCCTGCAGTGCCGGTCCCTGCAGGGAACTCACGTGGGTAACCCTCACCCAGTGGCGGACATTCTAGTGCACTTGTTAAAAAAGAAAAAGAAAAACCACTCCACTTCATAACCACACCGCCTTTATGGGCTGCTGGAACTAGGTAGCCAAATGGCCGGCCAGCAGCTCCAGCACCGGGTTACTGGGGCCAGGGCGAGTGCCCGCATGGGAGAATTTAATGAGCCCGGCGCAAGGCCAGACTCCGGCCTAGCCCAGGCAGCCACGCCGTGCCCGTCTGCAGCTGACCGCCAGCTGGGCGAGGCGGGCGGTGGGCTCATGAAATCCACCGTCCACGCCTGAGCAGCAAGCCCACGTGTCACGGCAGAATTCTGAGCTCTGGGGCTGCTACTTCTCTGTCCTGTACTGAAGGGTGACCAACCGTGTGGGCCGATCACACGCACCTCGAAATGACGATCGATCAACTCGAAGTACTCTTGAAGGGGCAGAGGTCCAGAGAAAGCACAGGCGAAGTCTCCAACTCCCTGTTTTTCAAAATATTCTTGAAGGCGGAGAATAAGCTCATTCGTTATGAGCCAAAGATCTTCAAATTGTTCACTCTGAATACGGTATCGTTCTAGGGGAAAAGATAATTCAGGAAAAGTGCTCATTAACACATCATTACTAGCCGAAACTGTATGAACTACCCCACTATCCCCGCATGAACGTTAAAACAAATCCCTCTCTCTGTAATACAGGTATGATCTCTGCTGGCTTTATAAAACACTTCTGTAACTTTATTTACCAGCTAGTGTTTTCAAGTCTAATCCCCAGGAAGACGGTCACGACAGCTAGCTTTAGCACACGTCCTCTGACCGTATGTCCTGCATTCGTCTCAGGAGAATAAAATGCCAAAATCTGGGTCCTCTAAAAAATCACAAAACTTTATTTCAAAGGTGAGAAGGGCCAGCACGTGGCGTGGTTGGGGCAGTAGATCCCCGTGGCCAAGTGCTCCGTTCGAGTGCCCGCCCTGCAGTGTGAGAAACACCTGGCACATGTGTGCCCCAAATCCCAGGGCAATGGGCAAAGGCGGGGCCATGTCCCCGGGGCGGCTTCTCCCTCTCCCTCCCTGTCTCTCCAGCAAACACACGCACCCTATAGCGAAAACCTAAACAAACAAACAAAGGAGGACAACATCCACTGCAAAACCGTACCCTGGCACCCTTAGGCACTCCAGAACATCGGTAAAAGAACACTGGTACAGAAAGTGCCATCGGGAGGCCGTCACCAGCACTAGCGCTATCACCGTTAGTGCCGTGACCAGCGTTTTCTACTTTAGTTCCGGCAGCTGAAGAGAGATTTGCCGTCGGAGCCCTCCCTAAGTGAAGGCTGTTTCCCTCTGTCCTCCGAGGTCTCGGCTCCAAGAGAACCACAGTCACCATATGGTGATGGTGGTGACGGCGAGGGCGGTGACAGCAGCAGCAATGACCTACGATAAAGCAGCTGTGGCCAGACACTAGCCAGGGCTGAGCACTGTGACTGCGACAGACCCTTTGCCTTAGAAGGACAGCAGGGACAGGACATCAGGAGACTTGCAAACATCACAAAGCAAGTGACACCCAAAGCCAGGGGTCCCCAGCAGTGTCCTTCTCCCGCCTGTCTCAACCCCCGTCCTGCAGGGCCTGGCTTTAATCTCGTCTTCCTTCATGTCACCACCACCGTGGGAGCCCACGACAGCGAGCCCACAACGCCTGGCGCTGCCGTGAGCATGTCACATACTCTCCCTCATTTAAACGTCGGTCGCCTATGGGGTAACAGCATGATTCCCATCTTGTGGAAAAATAAATCCAGTCGCAGAAGGGTTTAAGTAATTCGCAAAGTCATCTAATCTGTTCACAGCCGAGCAGGGATTGGAACTGTGGCCGTAAACACAAAGGCTAGCTATGAATACTCCCTGCTTCACAGTCCTGCACCCCCAAACGGCACGCCCCCTGGACGTGGACTCCGTGTCTGCAGCGGCTTGGGTCCCGAGTCACACTCAGGTGTTCCCATGTAACTTCCCAGATGGTCACATTCAGGGCCTTTGAAGGGATTACGTGCTTCCTGGGACCTAAAACTGAGTCTCCCGATGCACCTAACGCACCATTAATTGAACACTCACTGTGTGCAACGTCGTGAGAAAAGACACGGCAGGATTACAAAGATGAACTCGGGCTTCTTGCTTATAAGGAGCGTTAAGTTCTAGCTCGGTATTGTTTCACATGGGCACGTGAAACATCTCTCCACAGCCAAGACAACTTGACAAGTCACGTGACTCTCTGGCCAGAATGCAGCACTGTCTTCTCTCACTCCCCAGGGATTCTCTTTCACCTAGGAGGCACACGTACGGAGCCCGCCAGCCACAGTCCACGCAGACACCTGCTGTCCCCGCTGCCGTCCCCATCATCCACAGGCCGTCCCAGTCCTGGCCCCAGCCCCACTCGCCCTGGACACTGGTTGGCCTGGACGCCAAGGGTGGCTTTTCCTCGTGTCTCCCATCGAAGACACTGGGCCAAGGTCAGACGGCAGCTTTTACCTTTCTCTGTAACGGCCACTGAAGGGCTAACGCTCCAGAGAGCGCCACTGCGGGAAGGGTACGAGGTGGACGGGACAGTGGCGAGGACCAGCCCCACAGCAAGCTCACGGCTGCTCCACAGTTAGGTGCAGAGCACAGAAAGTCCCCCACGGTTCACTGTCAAGTCCTGGCCCAGCCACCTGAAAAACGCCAGCGCGTGTGCGTGCATGCCCTAAACCCTGATGGGCAGAAAATGAGGCAGAGGGCTGTGATGTGACCACACCCACTGGGGAGTATGTCCTCTCTCTGCCTTCCTCCCACCCACTGATGTGACCACACCCACTGGGGAGTATTTCCTCTCTCTCTGCCTTCCTCCCACCCACCCCAATCTCCCTCTTTCTCTCTGGTGAGCATGTATACCCTCTGCAATTAACTTAAAAAATAATAATAAGGGAGGAGAAGAATGATAAAGGTCAGTACCGGACCAGCAGTTAGCGTAATGGCTATGTCGCTGGACTCCCATGTAGTTGATCATGGTTCGAGTCCCAGACCCGGTGGCTTAAAACTCACGCCGGGCGCGTGTGTGTGCGTGCCCAAGATCCCGAGAGGAGAATGGAGGAGAAGGGATTCGGGCGTGACCATCCCCCCGGGGGGTTCTGGCTCTCTGTCTGTCGGGCAAGCGCATGCACCCTATAGCAAAAACCTTTCCAAAAAAAAAAAAAAAAAGGTGAGTATCAGAAACTCTGAATTTAGTGTCACCTAATTAAGCTTGGGATCCAACGTATTGACCGTACTGGGTCGCGGGGAAGGCCATGGTGCACTTTTGCCTAGAAAAACAGAAAGCACGTCATGACCTTCCAGTGGCCCATACGCCCTGACTCCCCGACAGCCAAGTAGCCCGGCCTTCATTCACTCTCCCATTCCCTTCTGTAACTCAGGGCGATCCAGGGATCCCAGGAAGGCAGGGGCTCGGTCCCCGTCCCGGGAAAGCACAGCAGTCTGGAAAGGAGATCTGCTCTGACAACAGAAGAGCCGACGCGGCCTCTGCCACGCCATTCGCTGTCTCCGCTCTGACGACAGAAGAGCCCACGCGGCCTCTGCCACGCCATTCGCTGTCTCTGCTCTGACGACAC